GACTAGAACCCGGTGTGCCAGCACTGTAGGCGGAGGATTAGCCGATTGAGCCAAGGCGCTGCCCCTAAAGTAATCTTTTTTTTTCATAAACATTTTTATTTAAGGAATACAAACACAATGCTTTTCATAAATACAACTTTAGGAATATAGTGATTCTTCCCACTGTAACTGCCCTCCCACCCACACTCCCACCCCTCTTCCTCCTCCCTCTCCTATTCCTATTCTTATTTTTTACTAAGATCTATTTTCTTTTTTTAACTTTTATTTAATGAATATAGATTTCCAAAGTACAGCTTATTGATTACATTGGCTTTCCCCCACAATGACTTCCCTCCCCGCAACCCTCCCCTTTCCCACTCCCTCTCCCCTTCCATTCATATCAAGATTCATTTTCAATTTTCTATATATACAGAAGATCAGTTTAGTATACATTAAGTAAAGATTTCAACAGTTTGCACCCACATAGAAACACAAAGTGAAATATACTGTTTGAGTACTCAGTTATAGCATTAAATCTCAATGTACAGCATGCTAAGGACAGAGATCCTACATGAGGAGTAAGTGCACAGTGACTCCTGTTGTTGACTTTACAAATTGACACTCCTATTTATGGCATCAGTAATCTCCCTATGCTCCAGTCATGAGTTGCCAAGGCTATGGAAGCCTTTTGAGTTCACCGACTCTTATCTTATTTAGACAAGGTCATAGTCAAAGTTGAAAGTTCTCCCCTCCCCTTTAGAGAAAGGGTACCCCCCTTCCTTTGAAGACCTGTTGTTTCCACTGGGGATCCTCACTCACAGAGATCTTTCATTTAGGTCCTTTTTTTTTTGCTAGAGTGTCTTGGCTTTCCATGCCTGAAATACTAAAGTAATCTTATGCAACAAAAATAAAGCTGGAGGCATCACAATACCAGCTTTCAACTACCACAGGACAGTTATAATGAAAACAACTTGGTAGTAGCCAAAAAAATAGACATGCAGGGCCAATGCTGTGGCACAGAAGGTTTAAGCCCTGGTCTGAAGCGCAGGCATCTCATATCGGCACCAGTTCTAGTATTGGCTGCTCCTCTTCCGATCCAGCTCTCTGCTATGGCCTGGGAAAGCAGTAGAAGTTGGCCTAAGTCCTTGGGCCCCTGCACCTGCATGGGAGACCCAGAAGAAGCTCCTGGATCCTGGCTTCTGATCGGCTCAGCTCCATCCATTGCGGCCATCTTGGCAGTGAACAAGTGGATAGAAGATTTCTCTGTCTCTACCTCTCTCTGTAACTCTTTCAAATAAAATAAATATTTTAAAAAAATAGATACTCAGCAAAGTGAAGAGGCAACCAACAGAATGGGAGAAAATATTTGCAAACTACGCAACTGATAAAGGATTAATATCCTGAATATATAAAGAGGTCAAGAAGCTCCACAACTACAAAACAATCCAGTTAAGAAATGAGCAAAGGATCTGAACAGCCATTTTTCTACAGAGGAAATTCAAATGGCCAACAGACATGTGAAAAAAATGCTTAGGATCACTAGCCATCAGGGAAATGCAAATCAAAACCACAATGAAGTTTCACCTCACCCCAGTTAGAATGGCTCTCATACAGAAATCAACAACAGCAAATGCTGGCGAGGATGTGGGGAAAAAGGTACGCCAATCCACTATTGGTGCGATTGTAAACTGGTACTACCACTGTGGAAGAAATATGGAAATACCTCAGAAATCTTAATATAGACCTAATATATGACCGTACCATCCCAGTCCTGGGAATTTACCTAAGGGTAATAAAATAAGCATATGAAAGTGTTATCTATACCACCATGTTTACTGCAGCTTGATTCACAATAGCTAAGATATGGGATCAACCCAGGTGTCCATCAACTGAAGACTGGATAAAGAAATTATGGGAAATGTATACCATGGACTACTACACAGTAGTAAAAAAATGAAACTCTGTCATTTGCAACAAAATAGATGTAACTGGAAAACATTATGCTTAGTGATATAAGCCAGTTCTCAAAAGAGAAATACCATATGTACTCCTTGATCTATAGTAACTAATATAGTATCTAAAAGGTGATCTATAGAAGTGAACTTGACACTTTTAGATGCGATGATTTTGGACAGCCTTTGTCTTGACTATTGAGGAACAGTTTTTTTCCCCTTCGTATTATTTGTTGAACTTTTTACTTAGTATAGTGTTAATCTTATGTGTATAAAGTTAATTGAAAAGTGATCTTTATAAAACATAATGGGAATAGAAGAGAGAGGAGGAAGAAGGGTGGGAGTGTGAGTGGGAGGGAGGTTAGGGTGGGAAGAATCATTATGTTCCTAAAGTATATATGAAATGCATCAAGTTTGTATACATTAAATAAAAGGTTTCTAGGTAAAGAAAAACAGAGATACATTTACCTTACTACAAGTTTTGCAAGTCAAACACAATATAAGCAAAGCTAAAAGGCAATCAGAAAATAGTTTTACAACTTAATGCAGAAATCACTAGTCTATATAGAATTATAAGAAACTAATGCAGAAAAAATATAAACACTTAAAATAAAGCATTAAGATCGTTCACAGGCAAAAAAAAAAAATGACCTAAATGAAAGATCTCTGTGAGTGAGATCCCAGTGGAAAGAACAGGTCATCAAAGAAGGAGGTACCTTTCTCTGAAGGGAGGAGAGAACTTCCACTTTGACTACGACCTTGTCTAAATATGATCAGAGTCGGTGAACTCAAAAGGCTTCCATAGCCTTGGCAACTCATGACAAGAGCCTAGGGTGATTACTGATGCCATAAACAAGAGTGTCAATTTGTAAAGTCAACAACAGGAGTCACTGTGCACTTACTCCTCATGTAGGATCTCTGTCCTAAATATGCTGTACATTGTGATTTAATGCTATAACTAGTACTCAAACAGTATTTTACACTTTGTGTTTCTATATGGGTGCAAACTGTTGAAATCTTTACTTAATATATGCTAAACTGATCTTCTGTATATAAAGAGAATTGAAAATGAATCTTGATGTGAATGGAAGGGGTGAGGGGAGGGTTGCGGGTGGGAGGGAAGTTATGGGGGGGGGGAAAAGCCATTGTAATACCTAAGCTATACTTTGGAAATTTATATTCATTAAATAAAAGTTTAAAAAAAAACAAAATCTGTATTAAAAAAAGATTGCTCACAGGAAAAGAATTAAACAACTTTTAAATATGTTAAAAGTTATTTAACTCTGTTCATAAGATGTAAAGGCACACTGAAATGCCATTTAAAAAGCTTACCAGACTGACTAGAGTAAAAAATCAAAAGACAGCTCATTAGGTCTGTACGTGTAGAGAGACAAGTCTTCTAAAACATTACTAGTGTAATGTGAATTTATACAACCAAACATGGAGAGCATTTTGTCACGGACCAGAATATTGTATACAATATACTATCTCTTGTGTAATAAAATGGAAAATAGAATTTTATATTTGATTATGAATACATAAAAGACTGTAGAATGATAAAGTATTTACTTTTTTGTGTGAGTTCAGGCAGGAGTGAGACAAAGAGAGGCAGGAGAGAAAATGAAACTTATTACCTGCATACCTTTTAAATACCTTCTCTTCTTCGAGAGTACCTGTTGCTATATATTTTAAATTTCTTTTGACTTTTTCCACTTATGTTCTTTTGCTGCTAAACCTTACAACTTTGTCCATGTCATCCACTTAAACTCTGGTTGTAATCCTTTTCCCATTCTTTGTTCCATAGCTGCCTTTCTTTAAAGTTTGGTTCACACTTAATATTCCTCATCTTCATTTGTTGCATCCTTATGCATCCAGGTTTCAGAGATGTACAGTGGGTCCTTTTCCAGCCTATAGTGACTGAGAGCTCTATTTCATTTCCTTGTAATTTTCCCCTCACCTGGCTTGCGTAATAAAGTTTTATACAGACTTTTCTCCCAACTCACCAATACTTCAACCAGTTGTTCCTCCTTTCTAAAGCTTAAAAGTGTTGCTAATCCTCAAGATTTGGTCCACCTATTTCTTCTCATACTTCTTTTTTTTTAAAGATTTATTTATTTATTTTAAAGTTAGAGTTACACAGAGAGAGGAGAGGCAGAGAGAGAGAGAGGTCTTCCATCCGATGGTTCACTCCCCAATCGGCTGGAGCTGTGCCAGTCCAAAGCCAAGAGCCAGGAGCTTCCTCTGGGTCTCCCACATGGGTGCAGAGACCCAAGGGCTTGGGCCATCTTCTACTGCTTTCCCAGGCCTTAACAGAGAGCCAGATAGGAAATGGAGCATCGGGGTCTTGAA